GTTCAGCCATGTACTTTCTTTTACGGCTGAAAAATATTTTATTGTGTAGATACACATTTTATTTTTCCATCAGTTAGTTAATGGATATTTGCACTGTTTCAGCTTTTAGCTGTAATCAGTTATGCTGCTGTCTGTGAATGTTTGTGTACACTTTTGTGTGGATATATGTTTTCATTTCTTTTGGGTATGTACCTAGAAGTGAAATGATTGGGTCATGTGGTAATTCTGTGTTTAACTTTTTTTTTTTTTTTTTAAAGAATAGTTTATTGATTTTGAGGGGGGATGGGGGAAGGGAGGGAGGGCGAGAGAGAGAGAAAGGGAGAGAGAGAGAGAGAGAGAGAGAGAGAAACATCCATGTGAGAGCCTAACATCCATCGTTGCCTCTGGCATGCCTCCTGACCAGGAATCAAACCAGTAACCTTTCAGTGCACAGGACAATGCCCAGCCAACCGAGCCACTGGCCAGGGCTCTGTGTTCAACTTTTTTAGCAACTTGCCAAGCTTTTCCAGATTGGCTGCACCATTTTACATTCCATTCCCAGCAGTGTATGAGGCTTTCAGTTTCTCCACATCCTTGTCAGCACTTATTATCTTCTTTATTTTAGCTATCCTGGTGGTTATAAAGTAATATCTTGTTTAGATAATGGTTTGCATTTCTCAAATTGAGATGTTGAGCATCTTTTTATGCGCTTCTTTCTGATTTTTGTTCCTCTGTTGGTCCTTTGATGCTTTCTTTTGGGTTATTTTTGTTAAGTATTTCACTTTATTTCTTCTGTTGACTGTGTGTGTGTGTTTTAGTGTTTCTAGGGCTAACAGTGTGCATCTGTAAGTCTTGAAGCTATTCATAATTCTTACTGTACCTCTTCATACCTTACACCTGACACTTCGGACTTCCCATTTCTTCTTACAAATAGTATATAGTCCCATCTGGCTTCTGTTAAAAAGAGCCCTTTGTCTTTTTAAAAATTATTATATGTTGATTTCCACTTGACTTATTAATACTTTTCTTTGTTACCCAACATAAACATTCATAAATATATGTGAATCTACGTTATGTCTGTGTTTCTCTTCACGCACCCCAACCAGGGCAGGGGATTGAGTCTGCCACTGAGGTACGTGCCCTTGGCCAGAATCGAACCTGGTACCCTTCGGTCTGTGGGCTGACTCTTTAACCACTGAGCCAAACCTACTATGGCATGTTTTGTATCTTAATCATACTTTACTTAAATTTGAAGTTGTCATGATTTTTAACTTTTCCTGGCAATCAGTGTTGATTTTAGGATATGTTGGGTATGGCAGCCAATATACAGCCCAAAGGAGATACATTCTTTAAATTATTTTGGCCTGGGTCTTTTTATGATCTTTAAGAATAAACACTTTATCAGATATTCTTAAAGAGCATTTTGATTCCTGCTTCTCATTAAACAAAAATCTTTATCTCAGTCCATCACTCATGTTAAATGTGGCTTAACTGTGCATACATGTATTTCATTTGCTACACAAATAGCTGTAGCAAATGGGAGACCGATGTTTTTTCATTTAGTTTCCATTGTGCTTACCCATGATGCCATGCCTTAATCTCTGCAAGTAGACTGTAGATTGATATCCTTTCAGCTATGGTCCTCTAAAACAGGTTGCAGAAATTAAAACTTGCTGCGCTGCAGTAGTCAAGAGTTCTGACAGCTCCAGTCCCGGGACTTGTGTTAACATACTTTACTCAGGTTGTGTGGTCCTTGTCAGCATTGGTCTCACTAATAGAAGCATGTCCTTGTCTGAGTGGCATTCTCTTCTGGGTTTCTATGAAATGGCTAACTATGGGAGTGTTGAAAGGTGGTTCATTTTCGTTAACATTCTCTCTCTCTCTGGTACTATTATAAGGAAAGGGGGAATAATTAACAGCTTCTCATTTAAGGGCATTTGGAACATTTTTCAGACAAGAAAATAAGTAGGCCTGATTGTGCTTATAACTTCCAATTGGTTTGATCTTTTTGTTACAATATTCTGTTGAAACGTTTCATTACAATTCTGAGTAATTTCCGAAAGATGAGAGGTACTGAAGTCATTATGAGAGAATTGCACTTAGGTGAATGGATGAGTGAATGTTTCAGGTAATCTAAATTCTAGAACTGCAGTATGAGAAGTTCTAAAAAATACTATATACAGCCCTAGCCGGTTTCGCTCAGTGGTTAGAGCATTTGCCCGCGGACTAAAGCATCCTAGGTTCAACTCTGGTCAAGGGCACATACCTTGGTTGCAGGCTTGATCGCCAGCCCCAGTTGGGACAAGTGCAGGAGGCAACCAATCGATGTGCATCTTTCACATCCATGTTTCTCTCTCTCTTCCACTCTCTTGGAAAAGCAATAGAAAAAATATCCTTGGGTGAGGATTAAAAAAAGTTATAAAAAATATTATACCCATTTTTAGCAGCATAGTGCCACTACACTCTTCTTCCTTTTAAGTGACAGGATGTGAAAGTGTATACAAAATTGTGTGTGCAGGTTTTCATTAGATTCTTAAAGAGTGTTATATTCTATAGAAGATGAAATACTACTTAGAAGTTGTTAGCCTGGTTTTTGGCTTCCTTAAGTTCTTTTGTTTCAAATATTCTTGGCCAACTTGCCTTCAAAAATTGTTTCTTCCCACTCTGGCTGGTGTGGTTCAGTTGATTGGGCATCATTCTATGCACCAAAAGGTCGCTGGCTCAATTCCTGGTTAGGGCACATGCCGAGGTTTCAGGTTAGATCCTCTGGGGCTTGTGCAGGAGGCAGCCAGTCAATGTTTCCTCTCACATTGGTGTTTCTCTTTTTCTCTCTCTCTAAAATCAATAAAACATTTTTTAAAGTTGTTTTTTCCTTGAATTTCAGATGTTCTAAAGAAAGGGATAAAGATTTATATGAGAAGGTATATTTATATACAAGGAAAATGATCGCTTCTCAGCCTTTTGGCTAAGGTCAAGTGTATATACAAAGAAAATGAATTACCTTAAATTGTAAACGGTCAAGTATCTGGTGATAAGATGGTATGGAGATGCCAAAAAAATTGTTAACAAAAGTATAATTGAAACTGAGTAGGATAAAAGGGACTATTGGAAAGGAATCTCAAACATGCAGTTCTTTGAGACAGGTAGGGGCTTTCAGGCAGATTGTAGGCAGAAAGAACAACACTGTACATTTACAGTGTTTGTTGGGTCAGTATGGTTGTGTTTCCATTGCCTCTTGCTGGAATAAGAAAGTTCTCCCTAGCCAGGCGCAGCCTGTCTCCTGCATCCTCCGGCAAAGCTACCATTCTGGTGAAATGATCCCAATGTCATAGACTCCATATTTTATTTTACTGCAGGAAAAACATTCCCTGTTGTTTGGGGTGCTTGTTGTACATTAGAAATTCTAGAAAGTATGTAGTAGGTAAAGGGATTTATTATCAAAGAGAGATTGTCATCTTTATACAAAAAACAGTTTTTAAAAAACACCCCATTTTATTTTCAAGTTCATTATTGTCATACTATCTCCTTCTTACCACCAGTTTGAACTGCTCTTTGTTCAGCTCCTCCCTCCTGAAGGGGCAGCACCAGCTTCACAGGCAATGGAGAGAGAAAGCTTGTCCAGACCCACTAAGGTTCAAGCAGTTATTCATATGCCAGTGCTCATGCTATGAATGTGAGTACTGCAGTTGAATCAGATTTGTGAGAGCCTTAATATTTGGAGGGATTTTGCTGCATTGTGATAAGCTAACACATGCACATTTTCCCCAGTTGAGATATATATAGTAAAGAAATAGTTTCTTCTCTCTTTGAAAAAGAAAAATGTTTAATTTCTTATTTATCTAAGGCCCTTTGCTTTTCTTTCAGTGAATATTTCCTCTGACTTTTTCTACCAATATAACTACCATAGATTACAGATCAATATGGTAGCATGCCTCTTTTCAAAATTATATTGACATATAATTCTTTTTGTTCTTTTTTTAATATGTTTTTATTTATTTTAGAGAGAGAAGAAGGGAGAGGGAAGAGAGAGCGAAACATCAATTGGCTGCCTCCTTCACACCCCCTGCTTGGGATAGAACCTGAAACCTAGGCATGTTCCCTGATCAGGAATCAAACTGGTGATCTTTTGGTGCACGGGATAACGCTCAGCCAATTGAGCCACATTGGCCAGGACTGACATAAGTCTTGTAATACATCTTTCTTAGTGAGAAAAAGTTTTAAATCAAGCATTAGGTGACATTATATCCAGATTCATTAATTGGGGTATAGAGTAACCATCTAACAGTTAAACACTTAGTTGTATACAAAGTACATTTTAGGTACTTATCAAAATGCAGTTGTAGAATTGCCAATCAAATTCTAGCCAAAAAAAATTTGAATTGCCATCAAACTGTCCTAAATGTTTCCTATAGTTTTTCTAAACTATTTTCAAAATTTAGAATATATTGTTTTGTAATATGCCCTAAAATTTATGTGTAACAGAATATAAAATTATAGTTGCTCATTGGAGTGGATACTTGTATTCTGGAGAAGTTTTTGCACCTTTGCATTTTAACCTGAAGTATAATTAATTAGGCTAGGCAGACATTGAGTTTCTTTTTTGTTTGCCATTTAAGTCGTGGCCCTAATTTTGAAGTGAATAACCATCCAAACTGCAGTCTGTTTAATTGTATGAGCAAAGATAAGACTGTTGGCCTTAGTTTCACAATCTATAACATTGATTGGTAAAGCTTTTACCTGTTTCACCAGAATGTACTGTTAGTGGTTTAAAGTAAAACAACCTATTCTGTGAGAAACTCTTAATATATTTATCTTCTTTGGAATTTGACAATATAAGGTCCAAGTAGATAGTATAATAACATGAGGTTTCAGTAAGGGGCTTTTAGACCCTTCCTGCCTTTTCATCTTCTGCTTTCTGTTTAAGATTTGTTAGCTGTTGAACCACCAACTCACTCACCCTTGCCCCACCCACCCTCTTTATTTTATATTAATGTATTTTTGTGTTGGGGCCATCTGGCTAGGCCTCAGACATTCCACAGCTACCTAGAGGACATCATAAACTACCGCTGGGAACTGGAGGAAGGGAAGCCCAACCCGCTGAGAGAAGCCAGTTTCCAAGATCTGCCTCTTCGCACTCGTGTGGAGATCCTACACCGCCTCTGTGATTACCGGCTAGATGCAGATGATGTCTTCGATCTTCTCAAGGTGCTTAACCAGCAGACCCTTTCCATAGAGCAGCAGTTTTCAACCTTTTTACCTCCTGGCACACTAAAATTCTGCGGCACACCAAAAAATATATCTTTCCCATCTGACAAAAAAATAGGTATAATTTTGATCAATTCACATCATATGACTATTGTTAGCTGTTGTCAGTTTTTTATTTGACAATCAGAGGGGAAAGAGGTCAGTGCCCTGACTAAATAGTCAGGTATTTCATGTTTTAAAATTCTTGTAGCACACCAGTTGAAAATCACTGCCTTAAAAGAAAAAAACACACCAGCAATCCAGGATGTAAAATGTGAACATACTAAGAGAAGCTAGAGTTTGGGTTGTGTTACTAGCCTGGGGACTCTTAATTGATAATAACAGTGTCTATAAAACATGAGCTCTGTAGCTAAGGGATTCCAAGCCATCCATTTATATGACTGTGTATTATTTTGCTTTAATTTTTAGTTCGGTTTTATCTTCCTTTACATGTACTGAGTCACAGATACAGGAGAACAATCAGAGACACCTATTTATTCTTCCTGTCATCAGCCAGATTGCAACTAAATTAGCCACTGGATTTGTTTCCTAAGCTCTGAAATTTGATTTAACATGCTAGAAATATTTATTGAAAACTCCAAAGGCTTTAACCCATTTATGCAAGTGAAGTTCATCTGTACTATACATGTTATAAAAAATGCTGAAGAAGGAAGGTGTAGCTCTTCGCTCCCCCATATTCTGTTGTTGCTATCTATTTAGAAGTCTGTCACAGAGGGAGGGTGTATGCTATTACTTTTCACTCATAAGAAGGTCAGTTTCTAATCCTGTCCAGTCAGAAATGATTGAGTGTGTTGATGACTTCTCAGTTCAGCCCTACTCATGGACACGTTATAAAAATCATTGTGCAATTTAGCACAGTCTTTACTGAAAGCTCAAGGACTTTAATAGCAGTGAGAAGGCCAATACAGGTCAGACCCTGGGGTAAAGTAGGAGCTGTATTGCTGGATCTCAGCGAGAATAAGAGGTTGTTACTGTAGCTTATGATGGAGGTACAACAGAGGATCATGTGAGATCAAGCTTTGATAACAGCAGATTCTACTCTGTTGTAATTGTCTTTTATGGATGCATACATAAAATAAGTGAAGCCAAATATATAATATGTTCATCAAAATTCCTTTTGATTTTTCTTTTCTTGGTGAAATGGGAACAGTGATGGGGTTGGGAACCATTCTAGGTCCGTTTCATATGCCCTGATTAAAAATTACTTATGGTACTTGGGCACTTTTAAATATGAGATATATCTGAGTATAAATTTGGAATCTTCATTTTAGTTTTCTCCGGTTTTGTTCTCCATTTCCCCAAACCTCTTTTCCCTGTTCTTACACGTAGGGTCTAGATGCAGACAGTCTCCGCGTGGAGCCATTAGGTGAAGATAATTCTGGGGCACTATATTGGTATTTCTATGGAACTCGAATGTACAAGGAGGACCCAATACAAGGAAAATCCAACAGAGAACTCTCTTTGAGCAGGTACATTGTTAAAGATCAGAGTTGTGGTATCTATTGTACAGAAATGTCATCAAAACTAAATGCATCAGCACCACCATTTTTTCCCCTTATTAAGAAATTAGCTGTAACAGCACACCTGCAAAGAGATGGAAAGGAGTTATTCCATACAAAAGTAAAAAGGAATTGAACTGTAGCCTCTAATAGCAGGTGGTGAGAGGCACTGTTTTGCAATGAGGTTTCTGAGGAGCACCACTTCCCTTATCAGAGACTGTTCTGTACAGCAGGTTCTTAGCTGTAGTCACTTCACTGCCATCATTTGCCTCTTTTGTACTCAGTTCTTGAGAACTCCTTTTTTCTACTAGAATTGATGATTTGCTCCATCAATATGGGACCAGAAGGACCTTAAAGAATGCCTGAACCATAGCCTTCCTAATTGCTCCTAAATGAGGAATAGCCCTTTCCATAGCATCCTGTAATGATGCTACCATCTTGTGTTATATAGGTTTTCTTATTGCTGGAAGTGGTGCTCGCTATTAGGAAAGTGTTAGGTCTTACTCAGATTTTAATATTGTAAAATGTCAGTTTCCCTTGGTTCAACATTCTAATAATGGAAGACAGGAAAGTCACCCTGCTTTTTCCCCTGTGACTGCTGCATTTAATCCACTTTAGTAACTTCATGGCTAGAAAAGCTGTACTTATAATACATCAGTACTATGACAGAACATTTCTACTTAATGAGCTGTTTCTTAGGGAAAGTGAAGGACAAAAAAATGTCTCAGGTGTTCCTGGGAAAACAGGAAAAAGAAGAGGAAGACCCCCCAAACGGAAGAAACTACAGGAGGAGAGTATAGTGAGGTAAGACAATCTTGTTAGTCTGTGACAGTCATAGATCCTATTGCTGAAAGGAACCTTTTTTACTTGTTCCTTCATTCTTGATTTTTACTTGGGCCATGGAAAGGAGGTGGGACCTAGATTATGGAGACCTGGATCAGAATCCTCATGAAATTACCCAGTGTGCACTAGGAAATCAGGAAGCCCTAGTTGCATGACCTCTAGCAAGTTATATATACTCTCTCTCTAAGCCTGTTGTTTTATTGAACAATGGACATGCTAATAGGAATGATGATTAACTTGAAAAAGACAATGAATGTGACAGTGTGACGACTGAAAACCATGCATGCATATGCTCACTCAGTCTCTATTAACTTTAAAATTTTGTTGTGCCACACATTTTTTCATAGGAACATGGAGCAAGTTAAGTCTGTGATTAAGTGTTGATTAATAACCAGCATTTTAATAGAATTGTGTCTTACATAAGTTTAGGGTTTCTTTCCCATTAGGCAGATTTTAGTAGCAAACATGCTTTGTTTTGTTTAGAATTCAGTTTCCTAAAATAAAGAAAAGGCAAGATATTAAACATGTTTTAAAGTATTTTTATATTTCATTTTAGCAAAGAAAAAGAGATTGTTACATTTGGGAAATTTTATATGTCATTATCTTTTAGGACAAGAATACATCATATGAATCTTAATGTAAGAGTTTTCAGAATCTGACCTATACTGCGTAAATACACTTTTACTTAAGGATCAGATCTGTTATACACCTGTGGGAGTTAGGTTGTATTCTTAAAAACTAATGACTAAGGCCAAACCACTCCTTCCTTCTAAATTTTAGAATTACTAAGTAATCTAAATGCTTGAAGTAAGCCAGATTTCACTATGTTGCTTATTAACCACTAATAAGTATTTCTAGGAATCAGATAATGAATAAATCATCAGAATTTTTTTATTTTACACTTAAGAATCATTATTCAGCTTGACTTTCCAGAAATTTGTCCACAGTTTACAGCTTTCCTTCCAGTGTTCGCGAGAAATGTCTTATAATCATGTTCTGTACACATGACATCTGTTTCTGGATTTTGTTAGTAATTTATACCTCCTTATGTATTCAAAAAGCTGTTTTATACCTATCTCCATTACCCTGTAAGTGAAATTAAAGTACCTTAGTGTTAGGAATACAGTAAACCCTCGATTTTACAGGCCTCGGTTTAATGGACTTCGGATTTAACAGACAAAGTTTTTCTGTATGTCATACAAGAAAATTAACCCTTGTTAATTTTAAAATTAAATTAACAGGCCCAGCTGGGCGTGGCTCAGCGGTTGAGCGTTGACCTGGGATCCAGGCGATCGGGGTTCAATTCCTGGTCAGGGCACATGCCCAGGTTGTGAGCTCGATCAATGACTCCCTCATCATTGATGTTTCTATCTCTCTCTCTCCCTCTCCTTTCCTCTCTCTGAAATCAATAAAGATATATTTAAAAAAGAAAAGAAAAATTAAAAAAAAATAAAAGTAAAATTAAATTAACAGGTTATTTTGTGTTAATTCACTGTTATTTTTTTTTTAATTTTAGTGAATAGGCCATATGTTAGAAAAAAACACTATAGTAATTTCGCTGACGTAAATAAATATTACATATCTACAACTATAGTTTACGTATTTAAATCCAAGAGTCACCGCTCGTAAACAATGTTCGGTGAATAATTAGCACGTGATCACACTGCATTACTCTCAGTAGTTGGTTCTGTTGTCATGTGGTGTGACTTTTTGCAGCAGTTTTAACTTGGACGACGATGTTCCCACGTTTGCTGAACCACACCCCAGCCGTGTGCATTTGTTTACTCCCTGTGATTGGTGAATGCACGCATTTACTAGACCTATTCAGTATAAATTTTAAATTACTGGAATACATATAGAAAACTTTTCTGTGAAATTAAGGTTTTTATACGTAGTTAATTTTAGTTACACAAATGTGTCTACATAAGTAAAGACAGGTAAGCTAATTTGTCTATTTTTTAACATATGCATTCGGAAAACCTACTTTATTGTATAACGGACTTTGGGCTTTAACGGACACCCCTTTGTCCGAATTAGCCCGTTATATGGAGGTTTTACTGTATAGAATCATTTTAACAAGCATACATGGACTTGTGCCTCTACTGGTGATTTTATTCTTTAGAGCTCTATATTCAATACAATATTTAAATATTTTTAAATTAAGTTAAATTTAAAGTTCAGTTCCTCAGTCACACCAGCCACATTTCAAGTACTCAGTGGCCACATGTGGCTCATGGCTACCATATTGGACAGCAAGAATATAGCACATTTTCATTCTCATAGAAAGCTCTGTGAAACAATATGTCTAGTATGATTCAGGGGCACAAATGACAATGATCCTTTACACTATTATGCTGAGCATTTTTGTATTTTATAATTTAATGCCTAACATCCCTGTGAGGTCGACATTGTTAGTAGCTCCATTTTACAGAAACATTAATTAACTTTTCCCAAGGTGATGGTTAGTGGCAAGCCTCTACCTTATATGAGGTTAAATTTAAATATAGGTTTGGCAAAAGTAGGTTTATAGCTGTGAGTACATGAAACACAATTTATTCTTCTATTATTATTTTTTAATTATTGTATTACTTATTTGTATTACAACTGCACGCCTCCTTTTGCCCATCCTTGTATGTATTATCCTCATACAGTTCTGAATCGGGAGGAGGACACTGGAATCTTTATAGTTCTTTATTTTCTTGTTCTTTGCATTTAACTTTTAACACTTAACTCCTCTGATTTTTTTTTTAATGTTTTAAAAGTTAATATTTTCCTATGATTGATGTTGTTACCATAACAATGGGTTCCTATATGTCAGTTTTTCCCCTTTATACCAATACATCTACATCCTAGTGTTCATTTTCTCAGTAGAGTCATTTCATCTAAACTTACCCTCTTGATATACACACACACTCCTTGTATTTAGTTGGGTCTACCTTATAGGGGAAATAATAGTTTTAAACATGTCTTTGTTTTAATTGTTAATCTCTTTTTCCGGTGTTTCAGTGAAAAGCAGGAAGAAAACTCCTTGGCATCTGAGCCACAGACAAGAAATGGTAATGACCTCTGCTGGAGTTTTTATAAAGGATTAAGTAAATGCATTTGATTTGCATTATGATGGGGATTCTCATTTTTCAGTCATACAGACCAGTTAAGATTATTGCAGGCAGGCATCATCTAACTTGTCTTCTTGCCCTTCAGTTCTCTCTTCCTTGTACTTTATTCTGTACCCATCTCTCCTGGCAGATAACTTTAGGTCAGGAGTAGTTCTTTTCACTTTTGCCCTGTTGCCTGGCCACAGCATAATATCTAACCATACATTTAGATGAATGAGCAACTTCTGAAAGAGATATCTTTTTAATGTAAAATGCTTTACTATGTAAGAGAGTATACTGGTTTCCCATTCAGATTTCAATTCTGTAATCCAAATTGCATAATTTGGAGGAGCATATAAATTTAACAGAAGTGTATCAATGTCTGTGAAATGGGGAAGACTGCAAAAGGTCAAATCAAAACTATTTACATAGGAAAATAAATACATTTTAGCATTTCTAGTATATTCACATCTATTTTATGAAGGTCACAAAAGTTGTATCTGTGTTGCCTTTGGTCAGTGTTTACTCTCAGCTGTAAATAGTGATTGTAACAGGAAAATCAAAAGTATACATTATCAACCTTAAAGTTAAAAAGTAATAGGTCTTGCCCTGGCTGATGTTGCTCAATGGTTAGAGCATTGGCCTGTGCACCAAAGGGCCTCGAGTTCACTTCCCAGTCAAGGGCATGTATGTCGGTTGCCAGCTTGCTCCCCACCCCCAATCTGGGTGTGTATGGGAGGTAACCAGTCAGCGTGTGTCTATCTCACATAGATGTGCACCCACCCACCCCCCTCCCCGCCCCCAAGGGCAATGGAGGGGAAAAATGAAAAGTAATAAATCTTTTTTCTAATTCCTGGTTTTGGTTGTGATCCAGAGTAAAAACGAAATTGAGAATAAATAGGAAAAAGTTCCTAATAGTATCTATTCAATGAACCCATCCCTTTCTTTCTCAGGGTCCCAAGGGCCAGGTCAAGGCACTTGGTGGCTCCTCTGCCAAACAGAAGAAGAATGGAGACAGGTCACTGAGAGTTTTCGGGAGAGGACCTCCCTTCGAGAAAGGCAACTCTATAAGCTCCTCAGCGAGGACTTTCTACCCGAGATCTGCAACATGATTGCCCAAAAGGTATGCAAACGGGTGATTCCTACCCTCTGTATCAGGTGTAAAGCTGCATCATTTAAGGATTATTCATTAGAGGTTTTAATACATTCCACTGTCTCCTGGAAGTGGTATGACCTTCATCTTCTCTCATCAGGAGTATTAAAATGGGACCTTATGTTACTCATGGGCCTTCACTGTGGGCCACATAATTTAATTCTCCTTATCCAAGAAGTTCTTGGGCCTCCCCAAACCCCATAATTTACAGTGGCTTTTCACAATCTGGTACTAGCTTTCCTTCTCCCGTAACAGTCCTTAGGAAACATTCCCTGAGCCATACGTTCCCCATATGCACAGAGTGTCTCATATCATCCTGTGCATAACCTCTCCGTACATGCCTTTTTTTTTCTTCATCATCATATTGTCTGTTTCTTTCCCACTAAGCAACAAGCTCTGACAAGTATTTGCCTTTGTTGCTCCAGTGCCAGCTCAAGTTGTAGTTTCATAAACCATACATCCTTTGTTTTCATGTATATACATCCTAATTTGTGACTTTTTTAAACATCTCCCCCCTCCCCCTTCCCTACTCATTCAAATCTTTGTCTCTCAGAAACTTTACTTGAAAGTCATTATTTCCGTGAGCTGTCCTATTGCTCCTAGTTTTAGGATTGTCCTCCTTAACATATTGACTCATCCCTTGCTTAATTCCATTGTGAATTTAAGCTCCTTCAGATTAGGGGCCATGTCTTATCATCACTTCAAGCCCCCCCACAGCACCTAATGTAATGTCTTTTCCTTGGTGGATGATCAATAATAATTTGCTTATTTCATTTCCATAATTCTAATACACGTTAATAGAAGACAGAAAAATTTGACAACCTGCCAGTGAAATCTAAAGAGAAAGTATTTATAAAGTATTGCTGCAGTATCTCCATGAAAGTACAAAATGACAAGTATATTACTTAATTTGTTGTGAATTTAATGCTTTTTCTAACCCTTAAGCAGGTTGATGCTCTAGGGGAAATTCTAGAAAGTTACCTTTTGCTAATAGCAGGAACTTACAGTTTCTCAAGAAGTCAGTCTTATGGATGAGCAAGAGTATCTCCATTTCACCGTCAAGATACTTAATTCCATGTACTATATTTACATTTAGCTTTTGTGATCTGCAACTCACTCTGAATTGTTTCAGGAATTGAAATATATAGTCTAATTTCTTTAAAATAGCTACAATGCAGTGATTGCTTTATAATTTTATATGACCTCGAATGTGACTTTATTGATAAAGGCTAATGGTGGTACATTAAATCATCTATAAATCATACACCTAATTAACTTTTATAATTTCTTCTTTTTTACTGCAGTATTCAACCCAAGATTTGGGAAGGGGCGGGGTGGAGATAGAGTACCTAAGGAAAAAACTTACAACGTAAAACTGATGGTTTTGATACAAAAATTTCCAAGAGCTGATTCTTTGCAAGAGAAGAAAAAATTAAGATAATTATAATTCTTAAGAACCATGAAAGTAGAAACCAAACAAGTTAACAGACTTGATACTTTGAAAGATATACAGAGTTCTGAATTTGCAAACTTCTGTGCAATGGGTTGTCAATCACGAAAATAAGAGATTCTAAACTGTGCAATAAAAAACTCTTAGCAAACCAAGTAATTAGGGAAGTGGTGTTTTCACAAAAGAATTCCATCAAAAGCTCCAAAATCATGTGAATTTATTCACAGGTACAATTGTCTAAACCTTCAAGAAAAGATAATTTCCAAACATTTCAAAACTGAAGAAGGAAATGGGTAGGTACCCTGTTTATTCAGATATAAATATCTTAGATCCCTGTTCCTGATAAAATTAACCATACTCTCTTTATTCGGTAATATAAATGTTAAGTCTTTAATACCAACAAATAAAAACCATCTCTTTACCAAAAAATAATACATCATAATCCATCAAGGTTAAGCCTAAATTTATAATACTGTCTTATACATCTTGTGTAGTGTGATATAACAAAAAAGAAGAGTAAGAGGCAAAATATTTAAATGTTTTGCCTGCAGGAATATAAATCTGCTTATAAAGTGTATTAATTAGAACTTAGTGATAGTGCTGGGTAACTAGACTTCTTGTATCAGAATCATTTGGCATGCTTACTAAAAGCTCCGGATACCTGCCAGTGTACCATTCCCATTCCCCACCAGAATTATTAGAGGTGATTCTTACGCATAGTGAAGTTTCAAACCACTGAAAATAAACCCATTTACAATAGTAATAAAACAAATTTTGTCTTGAACCTAATTACAGTTGTGCATAATCAATAGGGGAAAAAAGCTACAAAATGATTAGTAGATAGGATAATTTTAAAGTTTCCTGTAAATATATTAAGACCTCTTTATTTCTGAAAGGAAAGAGTAAGTTTACATGTTAGCATTCACCAAGATCAATTGAGATTTATTGTATCCTTAGCCAAATCTCAACATAGTAAAAATTTTCCTTCAGAATAACAGGTGAATGTAAATATTGTAAGGCAGAAGCATTGGAATATCCTGCCCTGCCTTGTATTATCACATAAATCAGCACATTAGTCGCATTCATTCTCAAGGAGCCTTTATTTAATGGACCAATGTAATAAATGATTTATTCCAGGCAGTCCAGATAGATGTATCAGCTCTTCACAATCTTTGTTCAACTTTGGCATTCAGCAGTTGGGTTACATGTTCATCAATTGTTAGTTGTAATATTTGTACCATCCTGTTTTTTCTGTTGTACTTTTTACTGAATTTATGCTATTAAATATTATGAAACCAGTAAAATGAGCATAAAAACGTCTATAAAAGTTCTATTAAAAAAATCATTCAAGATGAGTTGCTTCTAAATAGTCGAGTGTTAAATTAGGGTAAAGTTTATGTATTTGGATTGCAAGTGTCCATAACATCTCACTTTCACTTTAAAAAAACAAAAACAAAAAGAACTGAAGAGCAGATAAAGGTTTAAGAGGGTTATTTAAGTGAAAGAATCACTGGAAACTCCTCTTGATGGGGCCCAGCATCAACTGATTGGTGAATGGCAATACATTTATACATTAAATTAAGTGTTTGAAGTATATACACTTTTTAAATTCCTTGCTTTGATTGACTATGTTAAACTACCACTAATTGTATTGCCAAAAGGGATTTATTATAATAATGAAAAATGCCTATGATTCAAATGTGAAATTGAAACTTGTATCAGTAAAACAGAATATGGTGCTCACAAATAGACGCAGTGGACAAAGGATTATTGCCATATAATGGGAGTCGTAAGCATTTCATTTAAACTTATGGTGCTCTACTCTTCCAGCTATCCCTTTGGATAAGTTACTTGATATCTCTGAGTTTCAAATTTCTTATTAGTAAAATGAAATTATATAACTTTACAGAAGTTTCTATGGAAATAAAACAAAAGGACCCATGTCAGTGTAGCTAGCATAGTACCTAACAATCAATAGGCACATGGTCTCTTCCATTGTTTATGGTGATGGATAACTGATGAGAAATTTGGTAAAAAACTAAATCCACATTTCTTAACTAAATAAATGGATGTCGGAAGAGAGGTAAAGCAGATGGGATAATCTTCACCAGACAGATGGTAGCCCAGTAAACTTTGAAGTTACACAAAAATCAAAAGATAAGGGCTGCTTTGACCATATAGAAATGAAACTTTTATGGTAAGATTTAAATAAAAGGGAATGTAGCCTAGCAAAAGTATTTTTGCTAATGTTACAGACAGGGATATTTATTTATTTATTTATTTATTTATTTATTTATTTATTATTTTCAGACAGTGATATTTAGATGGCTTATAAACAGTAGGTCTTTAACAAATAAATTGACTAAGGGTACATATGATGCACAGAAAAGATGATAGCAAAGTATGTAGGAAGCCCTGACCAGGTTGCTCAGTTGGTTAGAGCATCATCCTGTATACCAAAATATTGTGGGTTCAATTCCCTTCCCAGTCAGGGAACATACCTAGGTTTTGGTTTCAATCCCTGGCCTGGGCATGTACGGCAGGCAGCCGATCAGTGTTTCTCACATCATCAATGTTTCTCTCCCTCTCTGTCTCTCTCAGATCAGTAAACATATTCTCAGGTAAGGCAGTGGTTTTTTTGTTTTTTTAAAAAAGGGTATATAGGGAAACAAGTTCACTTTCTTGGTATCAAGAATATAATTTTTCTCGTTAGTAACCTTTATCTAATTTGGCAAATTTGGAGTCAGACTGGCATTGGCCTCTGTTGCCACTAGCATGGTGGCACAATCCCTTTCAAAGAGAGTTCCATGGTAACTTTTAACCTTTATTTAAAGTTCAAGAGCTCTTCCTACAGGGTCTTGAAACCTTTTTATAAAGGAATTGCTCATAGGCATAACTGAAGAAACTGCTAGGGTAGTTTCTGGGGAAAAGAGGGTCATTATGCACTTTGGCAGTTGGGATAACACTTCACTATTCTCATAGTAGAAAAGCTTTTAAAAGCTTCCATCTCATTAAGTCTGCTATTGTTTGCAGTGTGTTTAAGTTGTAAAAACCACCCCCTATTGTCACTGAGTTTATTCTCTCCTTTGTTCTCTTATCTTGTTAATGCTTTGAGTCTCAAGATTTTCATTTGAGTGGTGCCAAAAGCAAACCTGGATAATACTGATAGTGAAGCCACAGAAATTAACTGATTTTAGCTACAAGGTCCTGGCTTACCACCTATTACTAGTTGTAACAGTGACACTATGGGGCTTATTCCACAGAAATTCCAGAACTTAATGTTGGCCTTCAAAAGAATCACCTCACTTCACAGTTCTCAAAGCTCTTTGGAAGTTTCCTGTAGCAATCACTTTCAACCCTCTTAAATTTTCTCGGAGCTCTGATCTTCTCAGCAAGCTCTCTGATTACTAGTCTAAGCCTTTTCCCCACACTGTCTTACTCCTGTGGTTCCAGGCCTGTGCAACTCCTTCTCACTGCTGCCACTGAGCTACCTCAAAGGGAAGGTCTTCCCTCAGCTGCACATAATGCCCTCTTTCAGAGCCAATCCTGCCAACTGATCATGATAAAACATGACTTTCCCTTCATGATTTGAAGGAAAACATTGTTTTTTAAATGTTTGCAGAAGTTAAGAGAGTTTCTTGCCAGTGATAAACATTGACAAAGGAGGCACTTGATGTTTTGGTGGTGATGGTTTTAAGAGAATAAACTGGCTTGGTACTTTGTGGACTTCAAATGATCTTTTTTACTAACTGTCGTAAGGATATCTTTCTTCTTCATCTTAGTAAAGACATCCTATGTGCCTTAAAGGCCACTCTTCTACTGGCAGCAGCAGCAGTAGCTGAGAACACTCTAATCTATCTTTCTCTTTCTTTTCCTCACTCCATCTATAGGGAAAGCATCCACAGCACACAAAGGCAGAGTTGCAACCAAGGTGGATGTCTGACCACCTGTCCACCAAATCCGTCAAGCAAGAGGTGAGTGTATGTGAGAGTAGAGAGAAGGAATTTTAAGTGTTCAAAAGGATTGTTCCATCTTATTTAATTTTTTTTAAATATATTTTTTATTGATATTTTAGAGAAGGGAAGGGGGGGAGAGAGAGAGAGAGAGAGAGAGAGAGAGAGAGAGAGAGAGAGAGATATCGATGTGAGAGAAACATCAGTCGGCTGCCTGCCACACATGCCCCAACCGGGGATCAAACCCACAACCCTGGCATGTGCCCTGATCGGGAATGAAACCCATCCCTTTCTGGTGTATGAGACCATGCTTCAGCCAACTGAGCCACACTGGCCAGAGCTTGAATATTCTTATACATAAAATACATTTCTAGAAAGAAAAGGAATTAAAAAAATAAGACATGAGGTCAAACTCTTGGGTTTTAATAATCTCCTGGGATAAGCACATTCCTATTTAATGTAAATGAGAATTAAGTACTGCAGTAATAGATATATGTGTAGTAGAAGTTTATGAATACAAAGATGGAAAGATTTAATGCTGGGCAAAGAAGAGAGAATTGGGGTAGGCAGAACTATGTTTTCACCTGCAACTTGTAGGGTGGCTTATATTTTGATGGTGGACAGTGGGTGTGGAGGAGTAATAAACAAAAGCATAGAGGCAAGGTAATATGTAATGCAGCCAAAGAACAGTGTATATTTGGATATGTCTGGCATGTAAGATACGTTGTAATATACAGAGGAACAAAAGACTAGAACAAGCATATTTTGGAGTCCCCTATCATGCTTACATCTTTGATAGGCAGTAGGAAGGTTGTTAGATCATGAGATTTTTGTTTTAAGAAGATACCTCTCTGGTCACACCATGATAAATGATTTTGTAAGGAAGAACTAGAAGGTAAGAAATCAACTACTGAGCAATACTTCCAGCAGGAAATAGCAGTAGAATCCCTGCTGTTGGAAATGTAGGTTTAGGAGCAATTTGAGGGAAGTTTGAGTAGTGAGTAAAATATTCTTATTATCATTTATTTGTTTTGAGAAGTATGATGATGAAAACAAAGATGATGAAAAAATAAAGAGGAAGCAGGGTTGAGGAGAGCTTGTGACAGGTTCCTATTTGGGGTTGTGTGTGTTTTAAATTAGAGATGCAGCATGGATGTGAATGGAAGAATGGATGTAGCTGACTCTCTGTGAAGACAAAAGTACCTTCAAGGCAGGCCTCATGGAGTAGGATTGCTTCCATTTATCCTAAATTAAAGAGACTAACTTTTGAGGGGACATGAAATTGTTAGGAGTTCATGTTGAATGCTTCTCTGTCTCTGAAGACAGGTGAGCATCAGGTGCAAGTTAAAATAGAATGTTTGATGAAAAGAGAATGTTTGGAGCAACAACTAGGTATTATAAAGGTTTTTCCAAGCAGCATTCAGGAACCAACTATGTTTGGGTATTTTCATTTTGTAACATGGTTTAGAGTAGTTAAATGACTTTATCTAGCATCATACTTGTAGGAAGGGACAAAATTGGTATTTTTATTTACTGAGATTTAAAAATTGGCAAGGCGGCAATAGAATGAGGCCTAAGGAACCTAGATCCCAGGTAAAGATGTATTTGATGATGGAGATCAGTGAGAAGGAAGGAGGACTGTAGGAATAAGGAGGAGGCAGTGAAAGTGTCCAGAGAGTGGTTTCCCTTTACCCCTTCACATTCCAAGACCACCATGTGGTCACTGGTTTCTTTCAATCTAACTCAAGTTTTAGACTAAGGGCTGGGCAGTTCTCATATTCTGTCTACTTTTTAACCATTTACCTCTCCTTTTAGCATCACCAAATATTCAAGCAGTTCAGTGGTTGTAGAAACTTGTACCTTAGGAGACATAGGTTACCTCAGACCCTGTCTTTGGCTGGCCTGTTATAGTATGGTGGCTTCTTACTGCCTTGCAGTAATGTTTTCATGACTCTAAAATTGAAGTGACAACATGATAGAATGTTACAGAGATCTTGTCATTAAGTATATACTACCTTGAGCCCTGAAAAGGAAAAAACTAAGTTATAAACTTTTATTTATGTCATTATATTTGGCTTTATCCTCACCCTTTGTTTTGTTTTGTTTTCCTAGCTCATTGATGTGTTCTTGCTAGGAGTTAAATTGCCCAACATTTAATTAGCTTTGAATCGGCAATTCTATGACTGATTAAGCCATAATTCTCAAATGGTTTTCTAGCTCATTTTGCCTTGCTGAGCCCTCTCCACTATCTTTATTACCTTGACAGTTAACACCTCCTTGAAAACTCTCTTTCCTGTTTTCTGTTCATTGCCCTAATCTGAGTCCCAAATGCTTTCATTTACATTTCAGATTGCTTGGTATTCTGACTACAGACCAAAAGCTTCTACCATTACTGCAAGCAAAAACTTAGCTTCAAATGCTAAAATTTCCTTTAGTTTTTCTTGGCAGTGGGTTGCTTTGTGTTTTAATTTTGCCCTTTAGTGTTAGATACAGGTGACCATGGTATTATAGCAATTCTGAATATCTGTTATGGTACCAGCTGTACTGGAGAACCTTAATTGTGGCATGAGTTTTGTATTTCAGTTTAAAAAGCAGGAAAATGTTCAGGCCTTTAAAGCCTTACAGGCAGGCTTTATGATCTATATTGTCACTCAGGAGTCCAGTCTTATTGCCTTAAAAAGTCTTTCTAATTTTGACTCCTGGAGAAAATATCAGTGAAGGGTGACTATCACTGAACTCTAGGATTAGTGCTACTGTAGGTCAGGAAACTCTGGACATTGCCATCACTAGGGAGTGTTTTGTTATGGTCTGGTCTGAAGTGTGCTACTAAAGTTGGCAAGGTTTGCCAGTGAGTTTGATAACCTGCCCTTGGGAATGGGGAGCTCAGAAGGGGAGTCCTGGGCACTGCTTCAACCAGAGATTCTATTTATAATTCTTCAGATCATTCTAAAGTGGTGTTTCTAATTAGCTTCTCATTAAAATCCCTTTGAACACCAACCTTCACCCCATTTGCAAATGACCCCTTTTAAAGAAAAAAGTTTAATACATAATACTTTTAAAAACTGTTCAGTTTTCTTTTTGTTTTTGTTCACTGTACTTGTTTTTAAAATATTAAAGTTAATAATTTTTTAATTTTATTAAATTTATCAGCATGACATTGGTGAATAGAATTATGTAAGTTTCAAGTGTATAAAGTTTGAACTATTAAACTTCTAAATTTAAAGTACTACCTGTGTCCAGGAAGTGAGTCCTATCCTTTAGTGATGTTTTCATTAGCATTTGCTTTACCTTGGAGTGGAGTACTGTTGAAAATCAGCACAGAAATTTTAAAACAGACTCTTGTTACACAATATAATTGTTTTTTTTTCAGATGTATATGATCAATTTCTATAAAATAATGTTGGGAATTCATCTAGTGGGAACTGGGGAATTATAACACATGATGAACGAGAAAGAGGCATGAGAAATGTGAGAAAAAGAGGTGCCCAACTAAGCAGAGGTGTTTTCAAGTGACAAGGCAATGCTGAGGTGGGAGAGAGTCTGGAAAAGGGACCAGAGAATGGGTGGAATCAAAAATAGAGGTAGGGCCCAGCCAGGCGTGGCTCAGCGGTTGAGCATTGACCTAGGATCCAGGCGACGCGGGTTCGATTCCCAGTCAGGGCACATGCCCACATTGCGGGCTCAATCGATGACTCTCTCATCATTGATGTTTCTATCTCTCTCTCCCCCTCTCCTTTCCTCTCTCTGAAGTCAATAAAGATATATTTTTAAAAAATAATAATAATAGAGGCAGGGATCAAAACACCAGAGGAAAGGGCCATGGTGGGCAAAGGTAGTCAAACCTGCCCAAGCAGGTTCTTGACCTTCTTTCTTACTCCTTCAACAGTAATGGGCATTCTGGGATCTTTAAGTTGTTGTTTTGTTCTTGTATCAACCTTCAAGTATATAATACAAGGTTACTAGTCACCATGCTATATATTACATCTCCATGACTTAGTGAGTTTGGGGTGTTTTGGTTTGGTTTTGCTTGTTTTGTTTGTTTTTAAGATTCCTCACTTAAGTGAAATCATACGGCATTTGTCTTTTTCTGACTTATTTCACTAAGCATAATATCCTCAGGGTGAAACTGGAAAAATGGGTCTGGACTGCCTGTCACTGCTTCAGCCAATTAAACAGAGACAAGTTTGGGTCATGTATGAGTGGTTATTCCAATAATGCCGGCAGTATGGGAGAGCAGGAGGGTCACCCACATAAAATCTGCTCTAACACCCCCCACCCCCCATAAGCCAGCTGCTTATATTGGTTAGAAGGACAAAAATTACACAGGGAAGTGGGCAAGAGGAATAAGAATGGACAGGTTATAGGAAATGCGGGGCTAAGGATTTGCAAAAGGGTCAGGCACCTTTGTTTCCCCTTTGTTTCTGCCACAAGGTGGTTCATCTTTCCATAATGATGGGCAGTTAAGGAGAATGGATCACATTCCAAATGTCCCTGGGTCTATAGCTCTCAGCCAAGTTAGAATGTGCTTTCTCTAATCAGAACAGAACAATCACGGTTAACAGAGCATGATTAATATTTCTGCCCCTAACAAGGGTCCATCCATGTTGTCACAAATGGCAGTATTTCCTTTTTTATGCTGAATAATGTATATATGTACTACATTTTCTTTCACTGATCCATTGATAAACACTTAGGTTACTTCCATGTCTTGGCTATTGTAAGTAATGCTGCAGTGAACATGGGGGTGCAGGTGTCTTTTCTATGAGAGAGTTCGTTTAGTTTAGATCACCAGAAGTGGAATTGTTGGATCATATGGTAGTTCTATATATATATATTTAATATATCTTTATTGATTTCAAAGAGAGGAAAGGAGAGGGGGAGAGAGAGAGAGAAACATCAATGATGAGAGAGTCATTGATCAGCTGCCTCCTGCACTCCCCTGACTGGGGATCGAGCCTGCAACCCGGGCATGTGCCCTGACTGGGAATCGAACCCCGATCGCCTGGATCCTAGGTCAGCGCTCAACTGCTGAGCCACACCCGGCCGGGCAGTAGTTCTATTTTTAATTTTTTTAGGAGCCTCCATACTGTTTTCCATAGTGGCTGCACCAATTTATATTGCCACCAACAGTACAAAAGGGTTCCCTTTTCTCCACATCGTCTCCAGCTTGTACAACTTGTCTTTTTTATAATAGCCATTCTGTCTGATGTGAGGTACTATTTCATTGTGGTTTTGTTTGGAGGAGTTTTATTCTATGTTAGTTTCAGGTGTACAGTATAGTGGTTAGACATTTATCTAACTTACAAAGTGATCACTTATTGTTTGATGATTGCCATTGTGACAGATGTGAGGTGATATCTCATTGTGGTGTTGCTTTGCGTTTCCCTAATGATTAGTGATGTTGAATATTTTTACCTATACCTGTTGATTATCTGTATGTCTTTGGAAATGTCTGTTCAGATCCTCTGCCCATTTTTTAGTTGATTTTTTTCCTATTGAGTTGTATAAATTTGTTTTTTTTAAGATGCTATAAATTTAAGTTTACTCAATTATTACATCTTATGTGTTTAGCATAAATATTAATGTATTTAAAAATAACTAAGTAGACAAAAATTGTATGATTCTGTCTTTGTGAAATATCCAGAATAAGTAAATCCATAGAGGCAGAGCATATTGGTGGCCAGGGGCTGGGGTAGTACAGAATAGAGAGTGACTGCTTAATGGATATAGGGATTTCCTTTGGAGGGCTAAAAATGTTTTGCAACTCAATGTAGGTGGTTGCTGCATAACAGATATTGTGAATGTACTAAATGCCACTAAATTGTACACTTTTAAATAATTTATTTTATGTGGATTTCACTTTTGTAAAAAAAAGAAAAAAATAATTTGTACATATTTATGTAAATGATGTAGAGCCTCTGACTTAGCAGTAATCATTTATATCTATAATTTTCCTAAGTTTTAAAATTTCTGCTTCATTGTTACTAAAATATCTTAAACTGTTTATAGTCAATTTTTAATACCTTACCTTAAAAATCTGTAAATTCTGCCCAGCCTGTATGGCTCAGTGGATTGAATGTCACATGCACCAAGAGGTCAGTGGTTCCCAGTCAGGGCACATGACCAGGTTTCGGGCTCAATCCCCAGTAGGGTGCATGCAGGAGCATCCAATCGGTGTTTCTGTCTCTCCGTCTCCCCTCCTCTCTCTCTCAAATCAATAAAAACATAAAACAACAAAAAATTAAATAGATAATTAACCTCTTTAAAAATCTACAAATTCTAACCTTTTTGTACTTTAACAGGGTTAAAGTAAGGGTTAAAAGTTATAGACTTTTAACAGGGTTCACATACTGGAGGAAGTAAGAAAGTTAATAAAAATTAGATCATTTTAGAACATGTAATACTAGTTGGTTTTCCCAATATATTTGGGAAGTTCTGCATCCAAAATAATTTCCATGATCTTACAGAAAACTTCGGAGACCACATGTAGAAAACTACAAGAAGACATAGTAATCTCACAATTCAGGAATCATCACTATTTTTATGTGTTTACTTCAGGCCCTTTATGCATTTATTACAAAACTGGGATCGTATCAAATGTTAATCTGTGAGAAATGTGTTTCATTAAATAGTCCTCAGAAATATTTGTTTTGTTTTGTTTTTTGTTTTGCTTTTTGTTACTCCTCACCCAAGGATATTTTTTCCATTGATTTTTAGAGAGAGTGGAAGGGTGGATTGGAAGGGAGGGAAGGAAGGAAAGAGAGAGAGAGAGAAACATTGTGCTCCTCCTTTTGATCATTCATGTGGTTTATCTTTTATGAGTTTTGTATTTGTGTTCTATTTGTTTTGGGGGTGGCTACTATTTGTAAGGCAATAAAAGATTCATATAGATATTTTAGAGATTTATTTAATTAACTATTTTTTCCCTTTTTTCCCTTCCATTGACTTAACTCTTGGAATGTCTCCATGTTTTCCAAGTGACTGGTGATTTAATATTTCTATTCATGAGTCATTGGCTTGCAGTTCTTTCATCCTTATTAAAATTCTGATCCTAATTAATATCCTCTTGTACTGATTGAAGGAAGACTATTTCATGTGTTCAATGGCTGTCCTTTTTGTCGTAGAGGGGCAGATTACACACACATTGTCATCATTATATGTAAATATGTGCCCCTTTTTTCTCTTTTTGTGTGTCTGACATATAGAAATCACTACAGTTTTCTTTGAATGGAATAATTCCTTTGACAAGACTTAGTTTTCCTCTGTCTCCTTTTCTCCCATTCTATGAATTGATATATTAAAGGTAGTATCTGCTTAGCGTCATTATACTACTAAAAGGAGCAAAAGCAATTTGGTTTGCTTTGGTTTGTTAACTATAGTTCCATCATAACTTCTCAGCTGAGGAAAGATGTTGCTTAAAGTTGGAATAAGTAAGGATGTAGAGAGAGGGGTTGAAGCTAAAGGTACTCATGCATTGCAGTGAAGGTACTTAACTGACATTTAGGAACCCGTAACTAGAGAGATATTCTTTATATCTTAATAACAGGAGCATCCCCATTTCAGAAACAGAAGCTAACATGTTTAAATGCCTACTCTGGTTATAGGATAAAGATTTTAGGGAACTTTAATTCTATTTAGGCTGTTGAGGATTCTTATGAGTACAGTGTTATGTGTGCAGTAATAATGGTTAATTTTTTTTGTTTAACTTTTATCTCTCCTCTCTTATTCATTCCAGATTTTACCTTTGGATAGCAAGCACCTTTTAAGTCGGGCTTACAGAATTTAAATGATAAAAATGACTTTGTAAAAGTCCCTCTAGCTATGACAGCTTCCAAAATCTGAATCAAATGAGAATCAAAACTGGTTTTAAGGACTATAAAGAAAGTAATTTAAAATTTTAATCAGACCAGTTTTGGTGTTTAATGACAACATATGTAAAGGGTGATTTACATTCACTTTTTTACCTCCCCACATTAAGATCACTTGAGCAATTTCCCTAGTATGAAACTTAAAAATGTATCTGGCATAAAAGACTGTTAGGTCTGCCCAGCTCAGCGGTTGAGCGTCGACCTAGGATCCAGGAGATCGGAGTTCGATTCCCAGTCAGGGCACATGCTGGGGGGCTTGCGGGCTGCAGCTGATTAATGACTCTCATCATTGATGTTTCTCTCTCTCTCTCTTTCCCTCTCCCTTCCTCTCTCTGAAATCAATGAAGATATATTTAAAAAAA